TCTTGCAAAATGGAAGACTTAAACAAGACACTGCCTTCTATTGCAAAGTTCAGGCACACACTGGAAACCCTAAATCAGATGCCTAAATCAGGACACCAACCTTCATCAAATTAAAATAATCCGTCTTCTAAGTACTTCCTCTGCAGAAAAAAATGAAGGCAAGAGATCTGTTTCCAGATGCTACCCATCTGATTTAAGAAAAGTCAACTGACTGTGCACAATGTATTACTGTTTTAAAATACATGACTATTATGCCCTTTTTATTCCTCACCTAAGCTGACCATTTGGTTTCACATTCCCGAAAGAAAAGCCAAGGAAGTCTTAGGAAAAATGTTTTATACTTTAGTCACTCCAGCATCTTCAACAGTTCAAAGTTCATGACAGCAACTTTCCTTTATACTATTTTCCTTCACAGGACAGTATCAGAAAATATGGAGATTCCAAAAACCTACAATAAAGGTACAAGTAAATTGCTGACTCAGTTAATTCCAATTCTGGCTGTTCTGGTAGCAAAAAATTTTAATGAAAATATCACTATATATCATTTTACTGGGGGAAGGATCCAAATTTCCCAAACACTTTCTTCACAAAAGAATAGTTCTTGAACCATGCTGCCCTACAGGTAAGGTGTGGAGTCTGTAGGGAAAGGTACTACTCAATCCTAGACACATGGAGGGAAGAAGAAAGAATATTCAGAATGAGGAGACAACCCATGGATATGTTTTGTCTCTTTGTCCACAAAGTCCCCCTATAGGGTGGGATTTTCCTACCAGCTTCCTTCATCTGCACCTCATCCCACACTAAACACTGCTGCTCACAAGCTGTAATTTGTTTAGCAGCAAATTCCTCAAGCCTGTTACATCAGTGCATTAGCAAGCTTAGACATATAGTTTAAAAGTACACATTTTGACAGGACTCACTGCTAAGACTTCAAATAAATGTCTAAAAATGTCCTGCAGAGTTTTGTTGCAATACTTGCTATTTGTATTTGTATTTCAAATAAATATAGGAATTGCCAAACTAGATTAGAAAACTAGACATTTCAGTTTGTAATCCTTACATCTGGTAAATATCAAATGCCATGCACAAACAAAATAATCCTAAAGCTGACACTATCAGACATCCCAACCACAAGAAAATTCCTGTTTTGAAGTATTTCTGGAGTTATAACTAAATCAACATAAATACAAGCCATTCCCTGAAAGAACCCCATTCTTCCTTGCCTGTGAACCAGAGCTAGGAACTGCGTGACCACAAAAAGGGTTAATGCAACAATCTACTCGAACAGAAAACTGTTAATTACTTGGTGGAGTTAATCTTCCATTGGGTTGGCCAACTCAACTCACACAAATGCAAGATCCTGCAAAGTAGCAGACAGTTTGGTAACCTTTTTTTTTAATTAGCTGAGGTACAACATGAAAGCAAGCCAAGAGAGACATGAAGTCCTTTACAAGGCAAGCAGCAACAGCAATGCTGGAAAGGGACAAAAGGAACACAGCTGCTCCACTTGGCAGTAGATTGTCCTAGACTGGTTAGTTTCAAGAATTTAGCTCTTAAGAAACTTAGCATACAGCTACACAGTGCAAGTTTAAATCAAACCAGCCCACTATCACCCTCCACTTTTTTCCACACATGCATTCTTGTCCATTCCTGTGCAACAATGTTGTGCATATCTGATTCAGTAACCATCTCAGCAGGCCTAACCCACCACATAAGCTGAAAAAAAAATACTTATACAGCTCGACTCTTCCTCTTATTTTTTTATCAGCTTTTGCCTTGGAAATCTACAGAGTACTACTGCCACTGTGGAAAAGATAAAGAAGTGTATGGCTTGGGTAAGCAGACACCTATTCAAGCAAGGCATAAACCACAGTTAATTTCAAAAAATACATGTTGAACTTATTTTCAAAATCATTTAAGCAGAAATCAGTTTAAGAACTTCCTTTTAGACTAAAAAGGAAAATCTTTAATTCTACATCTTTTAACTTGCATTTACAATCACTTCTGGACTCATGCTGTGTTGAGGTACCTAATGTGGACCTTGAGCTGCATACAGGTTCATCATGTGGCTGGTAATACGGGACTGCTGTATGGGGTGCTTGGGATTTTGGCTCATCCTGAGTTTCAGCTGTGAAAGAAAAGGAACTATCAGGGATTGCTGGGCCTACACTGTTGGTTTGCTTTGGGCATCCAGCCACACTTGTCATCGGGCCCTGCAGTACTGCAGAGACACACCCCAAGGAGTGGCTGCTGCTGAATCCACTGAGTGAAACAACCCCCCCTCCTCTCCCTTTCTCTTTGGCCATGGCAAATCTTGTAATTTCTGACAGACACAAATTCTGTAAATCTCAGTATCACAAAAGCTTCTGACTTTGGCCTGGGCATCAGTGATACCTGCATCAGTGTGCTCTACTGTTAAGGTATAAACCATGTGGTTTGTGAAAGGGACAATTTTCACATGTATGTATCACATGGTTCTGCTCAATTTTCCTAAATTTAGAAGTGTCTTTTCCACTCTACCCTTATGAAGTAAATAATTTAAGCTTTTGAATATTTTATACTGAACTTTTGGTCTCTGAAGTCTCCAGCCATGTTCCTGACACTCAGCAAGCCCACAAGAAGGATTACTGACTCTATAATCTAAAGAAATACACATTTTTGAGATTTTAAATAGTACCCTGTAGTATCCAACTTAACTGTGTAAATTTAACATCCTTCTAACAATTTACTTAAGAAATTGTCTTGGCTTTAAAGGACCAAAAAAGCTCCAATCAAAGTGTGAATATGTGGAAAAAACCCAACTATTACTTCCTCCAATGTCATGTATTACCTTCAGAGTTTGAGCCTTGAATTGCCAAGCTTTCAAGACAAATAAAAATAGAAAAGAAAGGAAAAGCATGTGATTATCCACTGAAGATACATTCTCTTCATCAACTCCTCCATGTCATAGAAAATTTTACCCAACCTGGATCCCTCATCCAACAGCAGATAACAAAAAGGGTACAGAATGCACTACCTCCTGGATTTTGTTACAGGACACCTTTTCCTAAACCAACTGAGGTTTTTCAAAAGGAAAATGAAACACAAAGCTTTTGCTTGTGTCCTGTAGCAGAAATCTTTATCAAAGCATGTCCAAAAGCTCTAGAAAAAACACAACTGGAAAATTAAGAGGGAAGATTTTTCATTACTCTCCAAGAGAAATAATTGATTAGACAGACCACACTACTTATAAAAAAATTCTATCCACAATCTTTCACCATTCTTATCTCACTCTTTTTCAAATGGTCAGTTATTTACATCATATTGAATGAGCACTTTGTATGAGAATAATTTCCCTTTTCTTGTATTTTGTTCTAGTAATTTTCTTAATTTTTCTTGTTCTTGGACTACACATTCTTCAATATTAGTTTTCCAACTTGTATTACTTTTATCTTTTTCCTTGCAATAGACACAGCGCTACAAGACATTAGACAGAAGAGAGCAGAAAGGTCCACAATTTACACTTGCCCTATTTAATTCCCCAAAATGAGACAGAAAAGAAGAAATCACCAAGAAAACAAAAACAGTACTGAAGTGCTGAAGGACTAATTGTGCATCTCAGAGACTGCAGCTACAGTCCAGGATGGCAGTGTTCCCATTACATGCTGTCCAAAGGAAAGCACACTCAGAGCTAAGACTTTCTGACAAGAAGTTACCTTGATTTGAAGACATCCTACAGAATTTCTATCTGTGATAAAAATCACAAAACTCCTCAGATTAAAAGGCAAAATAAGCAAACAGAAGTTTAGAAATACCAGAATAAAAAACACTGGATTTACCATGCATATGTTTTTGCTTGATTGATTCCTGCCAAAATAGGGTATAAGTTCTGACCAAAGTTCTTCCCCAGGGTCAGTTTTATGATTCCCTTCCCACATATGATTTCCCAAAGAGGAACAAGGTATACATGGCAGCCTGTTCTTCATGGCTGAGGGTACTTTAATATTTTCTTCCCACACAGAATTACTGTAATTCAACTTTCAGAAATATAATTCTTCCCTGGGCCTCCAGAAATACGTTTTTTTGACTGATAAATGGGGAAGAGGAATTAAAGAGTTAAAGGTTAAAAAAAAAAAAAAAAAAAAAAACACTGCAATCTACCTATTTGCTTTAGGAAATCCAAATTAAAAAATGTTGAAACAAAAATAAATTATATGTGTTACACAGCTTGACATTGATGGTATTAGTATCTTCTCATCACATAAGCTTACTATTTACAGTAAAAGATAGTAAGTAATAAGATAGTAATAATCCTTTTACTTAACATTTCTAATGCAACTTAATATTTTAGTTATCCTTTTTAATCACCAAAGGAAAAAAAAAGCTAGAATGAAAATAGAACAGAAATCTTACCATTAAGTTTTAAACACTGTAAATTGTAGTAATAACTCAAATTATTTGATGCCCACACTTTATCAGCACTGCTCTTTTTTAGAATTCACATAACTCCACATCCGTACAGCAGCGTGCTTTAGTTACATCACATTATAACTTCTACTTCCATGACACTTCATACTGTTCATGGAAAATTCCTTTTAGATTATTTCCAGTGTTTTCTATTTTGGAGCCAGAACACAAACAGAAGGAAAAAGTCCCTCTGAAACTCTTAAATGTGACCCACAAAGTTAAGAACTGAAGCAAAAAATGAGCTCCATGATTTCTTATTAATTCAGGGTCTTGTAGTCCTTACCCTGAATTCACCAAAATGAAACAATCCTCTCTTTTCTGCAGAGGGAAAGCAAGAGTGGTTCTAATGCAAATTAGCAAACTGAACAATTATATTTGATTAACATAATACATTCTAAAAAAACCCGTAATGGTGTACATCTACATTATTTAGATGATGAATGGTAGATAGTCTGGCATACATGGAATTTGTTATTAAATAGTATTGATGCTCCATTTTATAATCTTTTCCCATGTACCCCTTCAGCATACTCCCAGCTTTAGTTCATTCTCACCAAGATTTCCATCCTCAATGGTCAGCACCACTTCATCCATCACCAAGGCCCGGAAATCCAGCTCCTCTTCACAGCACTTGGCCTTCAGTGCTCTCAGGATCTCCTGCTGAGGGTAATCTTCTCTGATGCGGCGGTCTGTTAAGAACCACAGCCTGGGAGCAACAGAGCTGCACATCTTGGACTTGTCTTGCAACCTTCAAGGCTTCCTTCCAATGGAACTGCTAGACAGTGGAGAAGATGAGACTCTGTTAGAGTATACAGGCTCTTATCTTCATGATCCCTGCTGTACTAAGTCCCACTTCCTCTGCACAAGCCAGTCCATTTCAACAGACTTCGACTTCCAACCTCCAAGAAGCAAAACAATGTCTACACCTACTCTGCAACCTAAAGTACCAACTACAGAAACAAATCCATTTACATTACATCAATGTTAAATACTAGAAATTAGGTCTTGGTCCTCATCCCAGCCTTCTCCTCAAGAAGTACACAAAGATGTAACTGAAAACAATTTGAACGGCCATGTCTGAAGGCCAGAATTTCAACTTCATGATTAGGATAATTCTTTCTAGTGAAATAACTCCTCCCTTCTCCTAGGCACTGCTGAAATACCCAGCGACAGACTTGATTTGTCTCCTTCCACCATATATGGAAGAGTAGAGTGTGACAAACTCTTTATGTTAAAAAAGCAGACCAGCAGAAGAGAAACTCATTCCCACAGAATCTTCCAGGTTACTATTTTGCTGTTTTGCTCTCACAAATATTTCACATCTGCCATGAGATATACTTAGATATATATTAAGTAGTATCCAGAACACATAATGGAAAAACCAATGGAACAAGGAGCACCAACAAAATGCCAGGAATACAGAACATTAACACATGTAAAATAAAGTAAAATCGAGGCCAGAGTTTCAGTGGTAGCCCTTTCTTGGTTCATATAAATTTTTTTAAATCACCTTTATACATAAAGAGCACTAATGAATTCAGGACCAAGAACCAAAAAAACAGTTCAAAATGAAGAATTTCAATTGGGTTAGAACAGATAATAGCAAGGTACTTCTCCTTTTGCTTTGGAGGACTTGGACTATTTTTGACAGAATATATTTCTACTGAATTATTTTTAAAGCTGTAAACAAGTTACAGGTACGTAAATGGACTACTCCTTTGTGTTCAAGAAAGACAAGCATGGTGTAGGGAATAGGAATTCTGGAGAAAACCAGCAGAGTTTTCTGTGCCACCTTTCCTATTAAAATAAAGAGCCAAAAATCGTAACTTTCACTAATATCACTGACATAAGTTCCTAGCAGAACTGAACTCTGAGTAGAAACAGGAGTTTTGCCTAGTAGTCATAATGACTGCTGCCAGCAGATAATGTAAATACAAAAACACCTTCAGTACGTAATTGCTATCACATGCTATTACAAAAAATTTTTGTTTCTGCAGCAGGTCTTGGGACAAAAGGATTGTTTAGTTACAACCATAAAAACCAGCTAGGTATTTTCTAGCATCAAAAAACCATTTTTTTTCTACCACAACAGCTTTTTCTTAATAAGAAAATAAAATTTTCAGTGGACATATTTATTCCTGGTACTGAGAACCATAGTAACAACACACAAAGACTGTAAGTTTTTTCTCATTGATTTGGTAAATGAGGTACAATAATAAAGCGAAGGACTACAGTTCTTCATACCAACAGACTGGAAAAAGGCAGAAGCTATGGAATCACAATCACAGCTCCAGACCAGCTCTTCAATGCAGTCAAGATGTTCAAGGTAAAGCAGGAAAAGAGTGTTTGCTCCCTGCAGAAAAATGGGTGTGGGAGGTTATAAGTATCTTTTGATCTCTCCAAGAACCTCTTTGTTCTTCAAAGCAGCTCGAAGTGAAAAGGGCAAGATGAGGCTTGGGCAATGGCTGACATCTCTCAGACCCTGCCCCACTTGAGTCTCCCTCAACAATGCATGCCTGGACGGGGTGGTTTACACGGAACTTCCTGGAACAACATGCTGTGCTGGGCAGCGGGACAGACGGCTTGGCAGGAATGCCCCGCCGCGGGCCCGGCCCGGGGGCCGCGGGCACTGCCCCTCAGCGCTGCCATTTGCACGGGGCCGGCGAGGCCCAGCAGCGCCACCTGCCGTCCCTGCCCGGCAGCGCCGCTCCGCCCCGGCCCGCACCCGCGCATCCCACACAACGGCGGGAGGACGCCGAGGCCATGGGCAAACACACCACGCACGCTTCGTCAGCGCTAAACAAAAGGAAAGAAAAAAAAAAAAAAAAAAAAAAAAAAAAAACACATAAATCACAAACCATCATCAGAAACTGTATTTTCTGCCTGTTTGGGGTTTTAGTTTGGGCTTTTGTGGTTTGAGGCTTTTTCCCCCTCAGTACTGGTTCTAATGCTAATACAAGAACCAAGTATTTTCTCCCCATTTTTGCTTTCTTTGCCAGTCTGCTTCAGTTTTTCTCAAATCTCTTCTCTATGAACCCCCACCTCCACCCCCTTAAATACACCATCACCTCTCCCTGACTGTAATTTCAACACTTAATTACTTAAAAATCAGCAAAGGATCAAAGAAGAAAGAAAAAAAGGTATATTCTTCTCTTTCCTCCATCTTCTACTATTGAAAGAAATTACAACATTGCCAAGAAGGGCCATCCATATATATCAATGAGGATATTAAACCAGCATGTGTATAAAAATGCCTTGGATATGGCTATTCATCTCTCTCCTAATACTACATGTCATTTGCTCAAAATCTTAATGGTTTTATAAATGTTTATTTGAAAGCTTCCATCTTATTGTAAGAAAGGAAGGCACCAATCTCAAATCCGCAAGTAAAGACTGAGAAGCTCACTTTAGAATAAGATACAAGACAGCAGCAGAGACAGAAACTAACAGTCCTAAGTCTTGGATCCTTCACCTCCAATCCAATACCATCTTTCTTTTTCTACCCAAAATAATTTCTTTTTCTAACATTCTGCTCCTAAAATCAGAATATATTCATCAGTTTCAGCCTCACCTTAGAATCTATTTTCATTGTGTAAGAAATCTCACATAACAAAACTTGCATTTACCCTATTAATCAAACATCTTAAAAATCCCTTTCACATTCTCAAGAAAATCTCAAGAAAAAGGAAAGCTGGCCTTGCAGTCAGATGCACAAAAGCATTATGCTCTGAATTTGGATCTTACTGCCAGAATTCTTCCCTGAAAACCAGCTCCACCCATTTCAATCTAAAAGACACAGCCTCAGACAATGCTGGGTGTGCAGAGAATACTTCCTAATCCATGAGAGCATCTATTGCAAAGCAACTATGGTATATATAAGGGGAAGAGCAGATGTTTAAATAACTGCAAAATGGCCACTTCAAGTGCACTTTTCACTCAAAGCTACTACAGTCAAAGTAAGTACAATCTTTCCATAACTACTTCACAGATTTATGAAATTAGAAGGCAAAAAATAATCACAAACTTAGTTGCATGTAACAGACTGGAAGAGGGAAAAAGGATGGTATCAAAGTAAAAGGGTCTGTGATAAAAATCAAACTGTCACAGCAGCCAAGCAGACACTGCCACAACTGCTTCAGGAATACACTGCCTGGAACAGACTCCTTGCATTTACAGAGGGAATGAACGCTCACCTCAACTTTCAGCTGTGGCACCCTTACGCTGCTTAAGCCAGGCTTTACTCCAGCAATCACACAGTAGCTTCCTTCCCTCCCTAGCACATGCAAACCTATTTCCTCCCACATTCCTTCAATCTGCAGTACACCTCTAGCAGCTATTCTAACAAAAGCACTCACTGTGCTCCTTTTCAACTTTACATCATATATGAATATGATTTATTGAAATAACAGGGAATTCAGCCAATCAAATCACCTGTCTAGAGAGATCTGGAAATCTCTGAAGACCACTCTTTTTACCTTGAAGGGGGTGCTCTCTTCACAGAGATTAGAGACCTCCCTCTCCCTCCAGGAATGGGAGATTGGTCTCCATGGCTCATTTACTCGTTCTCCTGTCTTCAACACCCAAAAGTACGAGAAAAATAGACTAGTTTCTTTTTCTTTTTCACCACGATGTATTTCCCTTAAGATGAAGCAAGAAACCCATTTTTAGGAGACACTGATTAATTAAGGTATGATTGATGAATGTGTAAGAGAAAAGGCATCTAGTAAGCAAAAAAAAAGTTCAATATTCTTTTTGTTCACAATGCAACTACCCAATGCTTTTGTAAATTAAAAAGTCTAGGTTGTGCCTTCCCTATGGGAATAATAAATGGAATCCCAGATGTTTATAGCATGAAGGATCAATGTGATCTAGCTATTCCACCTGCTTGACCTGTGATCTGATGTTGCAGCACACTGCCACTGCCTACAGTGGGATCAGGAAAACACCTCAGTGGAACAGCCCCTCCCAGAATCACCCCTTTTTTAGAGCTTGGCTCAGACTCCCAGTTACAGCACTGTGCAGATAACACCAACTCCACAGATTGCAGTGTTTAAAAGAGAGGTAAAACACAACCTTAGTTTTAGCAGACCTCTAGACATGTTTAATCCCTACAGCTGAGATACTGACAATAAAAATCTCAGGGAACTGAGAAGGAATAAGCAAGAGACTGACAGTCACAACCGCCATGGGAAATGGAGAACTAGGAAAAACATTGCTCCAAGCACTCACTTCGCTATGAGTAACATTAACACCATTAATGTTTATCCCTTAATACTCATTTTCAGAACAGTGCTATTCAAGCTGCAAAAGGTATTTTGACTTCCTTTTCATCATAAATTAGATAAGGCTTGAAACTGAGTACACATTTCCAATAAACCAATCATCTCTACCATTACAGCGATTTCTAGAATGGCTGGAAGGATGCATTTCAAGATAGTGAAGACCCAAGAATGGTTGGCAGATGCTTGCAAGTTATCTCCTTCAGGAGACACCTCAAGGCAGACCTGAATTATAAAGTCAATCTTAGATAGCAGACCGGTTAAACAGCTAATGAACAGTTGTCCAGCACGTGACCCAGCATGTAATCCATCATACACTGTCATGGAAGTCTCTGTCTCATCTTAATGAGAAGAGAGCAGTATTTGAAACATCCTAGAAATAGGACTTTCTATGTCATAGGGAGAGCAGGTCTGCAAACAGTTCACAGCTGTTTTGAGCATAAAGCACAAGTGATTTTTTTTTTTCCACACAAAGGTACCAGAATGATGATCATTTAAAGAAAATGTTACGAAATATGTATGGATGATGAATATATCACATGGTGAAGGAGAAAAGAACTGACATCTTTAGAAAATAAATCCAAGATAAGTCAACTCGTTCCTGACAATGCTGCTTCATGGTGATGCTTAAGGCCAACATCAAGAAAAATTCCTCTTTTACGTACCAGAAACTAGTTTTCCTAAGACTGTCACATAACTGTTTGAGAATCTTTGGAAAGAACACATTTTTAAAAGCTGAAGAATCTGAAAAATTAAAATATTTATTTAAATGCATTTTATATAATATATTATAAGCTGCACCACAATCTGTCCACTGCTGCTGCATTATCATCCACCCTCTACACATGCATCGGAGAATTGAAAGTCTCTGCAGGCAGGTGAACCCCAAGCACACCTCTTTGAAAGCACATCACAGTATTCACCTCTTTTTCCCTTTGAGATTTGCAGATTGCAACAGCCAAACGATATGGGAATATATTAATTGTTCCCATTCATTCCCACCCCTGCACACGGGCAACTGCACTCCCCATGATGGCTTTCATCTCCTTGTCTCCACCTTTGCACTGAGTGATGTTCAAGATGCTAGCAGCAATCCTCCCAGGCACAGCTGCCTCTGAAAGGCAGACATCCACACCCCCCATCTTTCCTCCTCTGTGTTCATGCTTGCAAGTAGAAGGCAAGATTCCTCATTAACACACCCCACTTCCCGATCACCACCGAATAATCCATTCTCTTTCCTCCCCGCAATGGGAGCCCAGTACTGGTCCAGTATCAGCCATCCTTCTACTTTGGTCTTGGTATTTTTTTCAACAACAGGCTCTCAGCTTTTTCACACCCCTCCACTGTCCCTAGGTGTGCACGCACGCCCGTGTGCAAATAAAACACACCATTTCCTCCCACATCAGCTGCTTTTCCACCTGTGCCAGGTTCCCCTGCAGTGTGGTACAATATACCTCCTCTCTTCCACATCCGATCCGTGTGTACACAGCCAGTTTTCCCTCCTCCCTTCCCCCACCCCACAGCCTCTGTGCATGCCTCTCCCAGCGCCTGGAGTGGGGGAAGGGAAACATGCACTGCGTGAATGAATGGGCTGAAGAGACTTACCAGAAATTTGGTGAGGAAGGAGTGGAAGACGAAAAAGACACTAAAGATGGGTGTTTCCTTCAGCGTGCCAAGTGCTGCTTCAGTTCTGGCTCCCTTAAGGAGGTCACGTGTCTTGCTAGGTACCCCTTTTCCTGGATCCTCTACACTAAGCAAAAAGGGTGGCACGGAAGTCTTCTGCCTCCCTGCACTACACCCCAAAGGAGAAAAGGGTACTACTGAAGCTCCCAAAGCAAGCAAGCAATGATAACGTTCTCCTGGTCCTGTCAGGCACTGTCTAGTGGATGCCTCTGGGACCAGGGCAGATTTCTGAGGGAGGGAAGGGGGAGTAAATGAATGTTTAAAATAATTCCCAAATTGTTCACCCCTACGGAGCAGGGAAGGATGGGAACAAGTAAAAAGAGTACTGGTGAAGAGCTGTAGCTTTCTATGCAAAAGAAACTCAATCCTTGTGTCTCTATTTCCTCAGAACTAAACCCCTAAATGACTGAAGTCACCAACACCTAGGGAGGAAAAAGAAAAAAGAAGAAACATCCCTATTAGACATAAATATGCAAAGGTATGAAATAAACTAAATCCCAAAGGAAGAAAAGGTGCTATTCAAAACACTAAGCAAAGTCAAAAGAAAATGATAACATAAACATAGTTAGGGGAAATGCGCAACTTTAAGTATTTTACACAAATATACTATCACAGAAACCAATTTTAAGGGGAAAAATCCCACATAGCTAAGCAGTTTGTTCTTTTATTTAAGAATGTGTGTTCAATGGATAGAAAAATCTGTACCTACAGGGGAACATATGAGGAAATTAAGTTTCTAAACCAACAAAAACTATTCCTATTTATTTGTGAGCCTCTAAACCTCTCCCCTAGAATAACCCCTAGGATTCAGATGAGACTGGAGAAAAGTACGTTTCAGTTCAGAAGCGTGTATTCCTATGCATTAGGAGCATGTACTCCTCCTATGCATTAAAACCCACGCTGCCACAGAAAACAAACAGCGGTTTACGAACGGTGACAAAAAAAAAAAAAAAAACAAAAAAAAAACCCAAACCAAAATAACATGTCTAGAGGATGCTTGCTTAAATTATGAAATCAATCCAAGATTAACAGAGTGGCACGCTTGGAACACGGAGCCCCTGGTAAGAGCTCAGGCAGTAAAGACACCGATGTGCCACCAGCTCTTTTTGAAACACCGGAAAACAAAAGGGGAGAGAAAACCTAGTTGGGAAGATCTTGCTGCCAGACCCAACGCCAGCCACACACCCCCCGGCTGCATCACGTGAAGATCAGCCCCCACAGCCACCGCCGATCCCCACGGACCCGTGCGGGGACGCGGCCGCCGAGCGAGCCCGCGGGGCGGCGGCCCCCACCCCGCCCTCGCAGCGCGACCGACCCGCCCGCGGAACGGGCTCGCGCCCGCTCAGCCCGACATCTCACCCGCCCCGGGCACCGCCGAGCCTGAGGGGACCCGCGGGGCGCCCACCCCCACCCCCTCCGGCACCGGGCCTGGGAAGGAGGGCGCGGGGCGACGAAGGCTCCGGGGAGACGCGCCCCTTCCTCCCCGCCGGCGGCGCGGTCCTAGAGGGAAGCGAGCGACGCGACGCGACGCTCTGCTCGTCCCCCCCACCACCACCCCGCCTTCCCCCCTACTCGGTGTCCCTCCTCCCCGCGGCTGAGGCGAGGAGGCCGCGGCTGTTCCCTGCACCGAGCCCCCCGCCCGCCGCCGCCTCCCGCGCTCGCTCCCGCCGCCTCACAGCGAAGCGGCGGCGGAGCCGTAACGGCCGGGCCGGGCTTGGCACGCGCGGGGCAGGCACGGGGCAGCGCGAGGGCGGCGGCGCCGGGATGCCTCGGACCGGACCGGGCCGAACCGGACTGGACGGGGCCGAACCGGCTCGGCCCGAACCGGATCGGCCCGAACCGAACTGAGCTCGTGAGCGGCGGCACCACCGCTGAGGTAGCTGAGGCCACTCCTAACGGCTGCGGCCTCCCACAGAATGGGTCAGGTTGGAAGGGACCACAGTGATCATCTGGTCCAATCTGCCTGCTCCAGCAGGCCATCCCAGAGCACGTGGCACAGGATTGCGTCCAGACAGTTCTCAAATATCACCAGTGAGATACTTCTCAAATATTTCCAGTGAGGGAGACTCCACAACCTTTCTGAGCAATCTATTCCAGTGCTTGGTACCTGCACAGCAAAGAAGTTCTTCCTCATATTCAGGTGGAACTTCCAGAGCATCAGTTTCTGCCCATTGCCTCATGACCTAGTGGTTGGCACCATCAAGCAGAGCCTAGCTCCATGCCCTTGGAATCCCCCCTTTAATTGCTTATAGACATTGCTTAGGTCACCCCCTCATCTTGAGGCTGAACAGGCCCCACTCTCTCAGCCTTTCCTTGCAAGAAAGCTGCTCTAGTGCCCCCATCATCGTCATTCCCTCCCTGACCTGCTCCAGGAGCTTCATGTCTCTCCTTACAGAGGATCACAGGCTGGATGCTGCACTCCCAATGCAGCCTCACTAAGGCCAAGTAGAGGGGCAGGATCAGATCCCATGGCCTGCTGACAAAGCTCTTCCTCGTGCTTTTCCTCACACCCACTCCCGCCCTTCTCCCCTGCCCCAGACTGGGCTTCGGTCCAGCTCCTACTGCTCTGGCAGACCCCAGCCCAGGTCCTGCCATACCCACCCGGCTTCTCCTGCAGCTCCACCTTCCAACCCTGGCTGCCCACTGGTACAGGCACCAGGCCACTGCCACAGGTGACCGGCCCCAGCACAGCCCAGGCAGCTGTGCTGTCTGGCAGCGCAGCAAAACATAGAACACCTGTTGTGCGTGTCACTGCTGCTGTTGGCATGTGGTGTGCAAAGCCAGAACCCTTGTACTTTGTGTGACAGGTAAAGGTGTGACAGAACCACAGAATCAATTTGGTTGGAAAAGACCTCTGAGATCACCAAGTCCAACCTATGACCGAACACCACCATGGCAGTAGACCATGGCACTGAGTGCCACATCCAGTCTTTCCTTGAACACCCCCAGGAGCAGTGACTCCACCACCTCCCTGGGCAGATCTTTCCAATATCTAATTACACTTTCAATGAAGAAATTCTTCCTAATGTCCAACCTAAACCACCCCTGGCACAGCTTAAGCCTATGTCCTCTCACCTTATATCCTGTGACATGTGCCCCATGCCACACATCATACAGCATCATGTGCCTGACATGCCCAGCCTGTAGCCAGGGCTGCACCAACCCTTGCTGCTGTCACGTCTCTAAAATAATAACTGCTGGCAGCAAACAAATCTGACACATCCCCTTTATCAACTGACACACCTTGTTGATCAGTTTCTGTGGCACACCTACTCAGTTTCCTTGGTACCACACCCTTTTCATTCACTATATTGTGTCAGCTGCATATTTCACATTTTCCTCTGTGAACTTCACCCAACTTTCAGAACCTCTAGACCCAACACACACACTGCACACCAGGGGAACAACACGTGTGTTCCTCAATAACCTGTGTTGCACTGCCAGCTTTGCAAATATGGGGTACAGCCACTGGTCATTCCCAAACCATCCTACCACAAATGTTCCCATTCAACCTGCTTTCTTCTACCTCTTCAGCATGTGGCAGTTCTCTCCTACCCATCTTAATTCTCTCACCTGAACGCCAGTTTATTCATTTTGTTCTACAAATATCTGGGTCCTACTCTGGAAACCTCACATGTGAGGCAGGTCTTCTGAAAACTATTTGCTTAATGAGTGTGAGGCAAGGCTACCTCACAGATTATGTCAGAGGCCAAAATCCCTATTTAGCAGACATCATCCAATGCTCTCCTGTCTGCTTGGGTTGCTTGCCAAGACTTCTGGCTTTTCACAGCTGCAAGCCAGAGACCACTTCCAAATTCAGGTTCCCCTCCTTCTGACTCTGTACAACAGTATAAGGAAAAAGATACTATCACCCACTTCAAAGCCAACTTGAAAGCACAACTTGAGAGCAGGAGGCAATCGTAGGCAAGTACCAGCAGAGTAAACCAGTAATAGATATTAGATATAGATAAAGAACACCAAAATGCTAGATAGCATTTTTGTTGTTTTGACAGTAACAAAATACTACTTTCTTTGACAGAATTACTACACTCTAAGCCTTCTAGAACAGAGTTCCCATGTGCATGAAGTTTGCACGTTCAAAAGTTGTAATTTCAGGCTGTGAGGTGCACGGGGTTTGTTTACACAGAGAATTTGCTAACAAAGAGCTACTGTGGTATCACTGCTCTGCTGAAGATTGTGCAACAACTGCACATTGCCAGCATGCACACGTATTTCAGAGTAAGAGTTGCATGCTGGTTTTAAGACAGCATAAAGCAAAGAGGAAAGGAAAATGTCTGCATTAGGATTTATATAACTACAGTGACACAGTAATAGCAGAATTTTTTTTTAATATATCAATAAGCAGCCAAGTGGTAAGGCAGGTGCCTCTGCTGCTCAAACACAGTTAGCAGTTTGTGGAAAGAGGAGAATTGCACAGTTGGGGAATTCAGGAGTGTAGATTTTTGGCCATACAAATGCATGTTTAGTTATAAGACATCTGAGAGGAAGTAATTCTACAAGTACAGGAAAAATACTCGTCATGGTAACAGTAAGATATTTGATCTCAAACCATTTGTGATACTTCAGCTGGGTGTTACAATTATCAGTAATAATTTATTCTGCCACTTACCTCTTACCTTACCTCCATAGCGCTCTCTCATGCAAAAATGTAGCTCTGTATCCTTTTAATTACTGTTTGTTGAGCTGCTGGAATTGTAGTATGTTGAGTTTTGTCACAGTTTGGATACCCTATATCTTTAGAACAATTTCCTATCATCTAGAAAATTAAGTTAGTTTGGAATGAGTCATAAGAGTCTTTTGCCCTTTCTTGCAGAGGTAGAACAGAAGAAAGGGTTAATTTATTACTTAGGATGTGCCAACCTAGGATGTGCCTATTGCTGCAGAAGCTTTTCTTTTTTTTTTTTTTTTCTTTTTTTTTTTTTGGCCGGTGAAGGCAAGGTCTCTCCTGTTATCTCTCCTGTTATCCATAAATCTATTCTCAGGACAAAATTCTTACTATTTTATTGTGCAAGAACGATATTGGACAGTGCCCCCAGTGTCAATGCTCCAGAATACCAAACTTCACCCTTTAGTGAAGAATTATAATTGTAGTATCAACAAGGAATGGATGCCTCTGAACACTAACAAATCCTGGCACCTTTCTCTTGAGATTTTTCCCATGCACTCTGTAATGCATAATATAAGGACTGGTCCAAAGCCTTAATGTATGCAAAATCTGATTTCACGGTTGATTCCATGAAACATCTTTTATCACTGAGTTCACTACAACTGCAAACCAGCTGTTTAGTCCTGAAGCCAAAGCCTGCAGGATATTATCCCATTATTCACATTGTAAAGTTTCATATACTGTCTCTGGTTGGGTGTGTGACCTTGTGATGCAACAATGATGGAAAGTCCAGCCTGCAAATGTTGCTAAGCCTAATTATTTATACTCATTTTCCTGTGTGCTGACTGTGTGCTCCCCTGTGTCTTCAGTAGCTACTCATTTGGTCAGCTAAGTCTCAAGCGATGTTTCTGCTTCCCACTTGGATGGCTGAATGGTAAAAAAAAAAATATTTATAAGGCAAGGTATAGGCCTGTGTTCACACATGAATGCTTGGGTTCACATATGACACAGATGGTCCAATGAAGGGAAACAACTTCTGGCCCGTGTTTCAACAGGAAAATGGCCGTATCGTTCTTGTTTCATACCATGTAAAATGAGGACTATGCCAAATGGTGCAAAATCATCTTTAATTTCATACAACCCTAGCTTCTTATTGGTTCTGCTGTTATACTAATTGCTGTTCTGAATTAACTACTGTAAGATAGCAGAAAATGGAGAAACTACTGCGAACACAAAGGACTCGCAGCTAAGGGGACCTGCAGAAAGTTCCAGGTTTCACTAAGCCCCACACCATGCCCTCCAGAATGTGACACCCCAGCTTGCAGGTGGGTCTGTCGCCCGTGTTCCTGACTCCAAGTGGTTCATCACACCAAACCCACCCATGTCTCTGCATAAACACCGTCCATTGCCCTACACATACGGCCTTCCCATGCCAGAGGTGGCCCTTCTCCCCACGTACAGCTCCATGCCCTGCTGCCCGTGGCACCGAGTGCCGAGCTGCTCCTCTGCTCCCACGTTCGGGTGGGCATCAGCCCGGTGGGGACTGCCCGCGGCTGCTGCCGGCACGGACACACCGAGCGGCAGCAGAGGGCTCGGGGGGGGAGGCTGCGGCTCCAGCGGGAGGGTCCAGCCCCAGGCTCGGCCCCGCTGCCCACCCGCACCCGAGCGCGCATCCGCATCCTTCTTGCCCGTGTGCGGGCGCGGGAGAGCGAGGCGCTGTGGGCAGCGGTGGCGGCGCTGGTGGCGGCGGTGCCGAGGAGCCCAGCCCTGCCCATGGCAGTCGGCTGCGACGGCGAGGTCTCTGCCGCCGGGCTGGCTGCCAGCGCCGCCGTCCTGCCAGCGGCAGCGCGGGCCGGGCTCGGGAGTGCCTCGGGGCGGGGAGCGGCGTGGGGGCAGAGGGGCTGGGGCAGCGCGGGTGATGCTGCCCGGGTAGCGG